GAGGTTGAGGTTCATCGTAAGGGAACCTCAGAAGACAACATGGAAGTTGAGGGCATCACGAGGAAGAGAGCGGCGGCGTCAGACTCAGATGATGTCCTGACGCCGGCACAGAGGTCTGGGAGGAAGGAAGAGTACTGTCGAGGTAGTCAGGATAAGAGGCATCGCAAGAAAAGAGTAGGGGTTGATGGTGGGAAGCCCTGTGCTGGCTCTGGGGCAGGAGGCCCTAGGATGAATGAAGAGAGGAGGAAGGGTTGGAAACTATAAAGAGGCCTTAGGTGTATGACTGTGAACGTAAATGGACTGTGTATTAGTGTGAAGAGGAAATGGTTTCGAATGTTTCTGTGTAAATATAGAGTGGATGTAGTGTTCCTGCAAGAACACAATTTGAAGGAGGGGAGAGAGCTGGAGGTGGCTGGGTTTCAGGTCATGACTCTGCCATCTGCACGTCTGAAAGGTGGTGTGGGTATATTGATCAGGGAGGTGAGCCCGTTTGTGTTGATAAGAAGTGAGGGGGGGGGGGGGAGGGTGTTGCATGTGGATGGATGGTGGATGTGAAAGTAAAGCAGGAATTTGTATGTGATGACCTAGTTTTCTCTTACGTGGTTTACCTGTGGTGGCCATCGTTTGTGGGGACTGGAACTGTGTTATCAGGAGAGCTGATGTGGAACCAAAAGGGGTGGGGCACATGTCGGCGGCCTTACGAGACCTCTTCAGGGATATTCAGTTGAGGGATGCAGTTGGATGCGGAGTGTGGGAGGTAGAGCACACTTTCAAGCGGAGGGGTTATGTGGCTAGGTTAGATAAGTAGTACATTTCTCAAGGGATTTGGTAAAGTTTTTCTGCACAACAGAGGTAGCTTATTCGGATCATAGGGCAGTCGTGGCAGAGGTGGAATGGGAGTCACTGGCGGGTATCTCTAGGGGTTATTGGAAATTAAATACGAGTGTGTTAGGAGATGAGGAAGGGTTGGAGGGATTTACAACACTGTGGGAAGGGTTAAGTTTGGAGGTACATGGGGTGGAGGATGTGGTAACATGGTGGAATGGTGTGGCTAAAGAATGAATTAGGCAATATTACGTGAGAGAAGGGAAACGAAATTAATTTTTTTAAAATATGGGCTGGCCAGCTATTTGGAGGACAGGTTAAGGGGTTGTTATGCGAGAGGGGCAGTGGCGGCATTTACCCTATGGATGACATACTGGCACTTAAGGGGAGGCTGAGTGAGCTACAAGATGAGAGGTTCCAAGCAGTGAGGGTAATGGCAGGCATGGAAGAGGTGTTATGGGCGATAGGCCTTCGTCGTGTGTATTGCGTAGGCAAAAGCAACGGCAGCAGGCAACAGCTATTCCATTGTTTGGAGGTTCATGAGTCGGTATGTGGGCATAGGGTGGGTCAGGCTATACATGCCACAGATGGAATGGGAGTGTTTGAAGGACGAGTGGTATGGAAAGTATTGGCAAAGGGATGGGGTAGGAGCTGGGGTTTTAAAACAGGTGTGTGAGAATGTGATATATCTGTTGGGAAAAAGTGATAGGGATGCGTTGGGAGGGAAAACAACTGAGGGAGAAACATGGAAGGCTTTAAGTGAAATGCATAAGGGTAAAGCTCCGGGAATCGATTGACTCCCAGCAGAGTTTTATCTACAGCATTGGGAGCTAGTGAGGGGTTTTATGGTTAGGTTATTAAATTTAATGAAGGAGAGGGGAGAGTTGGAGAGAAGCAGGCAACAGCTGTAGTAGTATTGGTACTGAAGGGTAAGGGGCAACATACACTTAGGGACTACCGGGCAATATCGTTGTTATGCACAGATTATAAGCTGTTTGCCAAAATTTTGGGGAATCGGTTTTAAATGTGTAGTGGATAGAGTAGTATCGAGAACTCAGTTTGGGTAGCCAGGGAGGTCTATGGTGGAGGGACATGGGTTCCTAAGGGATTTCGTGGAAGCAAAAAGGGGAAAGGGGGGGTTTGGTGGCTTTAGACTGGTAAGGTGCATATGAAAGAGTGGAACGAGAAGCATTGAGAGCCATCCTCAGGGGACAGGGGTTTGGGGAAGAAATAGTGGGATGGGTAGATGCTTTGCATCGCGGTACAGTGGCCAGGGTACAGATTAATGGGAGAGTGGGTGGGAAGATTGTAATGGAAAGGGGACTTCGACAGGGGTGGCCTATGTCAAAACTTTTATTTGCATGCATTCAGGACCCATTTTATAAGATGATAGAGAAGCGTATGTGCAAAAGGGGGAGTGAAGGGAGTCGAGTTGGGAGGGTTTGGCCAGTCTTATTAGTGTATGTAGATGACACTACTATTCTGGTTAGGGAGAGGATGTCAATGGATACCTTGGATTGGGTAGTACAATTGTTCTCGGATGCAACTGGTATGAGAGTGAATTCAGAAAAGTCCATGGTCATGGGGTTAGGAGCTTGGGCTGGGAGGGTTGAGTGGGGTAGTTCAGTGGTGGGGAGGCGAGTAAATTTGTTAAAATTTGTGGTCTTATCATGCAGATGATCTGGATGTAGCACGCAGGAAAGCTCGATTAGGTTGGTGGATAGGATTCAGGGCGATTGGGTGCATTGAGGCCTAATCATTTGACCCTTGTACAGCGGGCCCCCTTGTCATTAATGTCTTATTGTATAGTAAGGTATGGCAT